CAAAAGGGGAACCTGGCAAACTCCAATTGGTTAATTCTGTTTACCTTCTGTTCCTTGCAACTACATATAGATGCAGAGCTGTGTGTTCTCAATGCTAAAAAGGGTACCAGAATAATAGCATCTACAATCTGTAATTATAAAAGCTTTTATCTATCTAGTACTATGAGTCAGACACGTTTTATAGAATTTTTTCATTGAATCTTCACAACCACCCAGTGGGGTACTTATTACCATTCCTAATTTATAATGAAGAAACTGAGGCCCAGAGAGGCTATTAACTTGCCCATGGTCACACAGCTTGGGTTTGATCTGCTGAGATTGAATTTAAGCATTCTAACTTCGGAGTCTCTGCTCCTAACCATTATGTTATACTGTATCCCAAACACTGGCATAGGTATATGAAGCTCCAAGGCACTTCAGATATCACAGATCAACCCACAGATTTTGTCTCTTTACTTCAGGATTCAGGGCTCTCTCTACTTCATCAAAAAGCCTTAGGTTCTTTGCATCATCAGAATCTGGAGGTTTTTTATTAATACACTATCCCTTATTCTTTAGGGGCTAGAACTTTATATAAATATAAAATATTCTCATATAGTTTTTCTATAATGTACTTATTTCCTAATTCTCCTCCCACCTTTTTTTAAAGATAGACTTTATTTTTTTAGAGCATTTTAGGTTTATAGCAAAATTGAGTGGAAAGTACATAGATATCCCATATATCCCCTGCCCCCCACCTCCTCACACAGTCTCCCCCACTATCAACATCCTGCACCAGAAGGATGTTATAATCAATGAACCAACACTGACACAGCATTATCACCCAAAGTCCATAATTTACATTAGGATTCACTCTTGGTGTTGGACATTCTATGGGTTTTGACCAACATATAATGACATGTATCCATCATTATAGTATCCTATGGAATAGTTTTACTGTCCTAAAAGTCCTGTCTGTTCCAACTATTTCCCTTCCTCCCCCAAAGCCACTGACGACCACTGATCTTTTCACCGTCTCCATACTTTTGCCTTTTCCAGAATGTCATGTAGTTGGAATCATATAGTATGTAGCCTTTTCAAATTGGCTTCTTTCACTTAGTAATATGCATTTAAGTTTCCTCCATGACTTCTCTTGGATTGATATCTCATTTCTTTTTAGCACTGAATAATATTTCATTGTATGAATACACTGCAGTTTATTTATTCATTGGCCTACTGAAGGACATCTTGGTTGCTTCCAAGTTTTGGCAATTGTGAATAAAGATGACATAAATATCCATGTACACGTTTTTATGTGGACATAAGTTTTCAACTCGTTTGGGTAAACACTAAGAACTGTAATTGTTAGATATGGCAAAAGTAGGTTTAGTTTTATTAAAAACTGCCAAACTTTCTTCCGAAGTGGCTGCACTGTTTTGCCTTCCCACCAGCAATGAATGGGAGTTCCTATCACTCCACATCTTTGTCAGCATTTGGTGTTGTGCTTTGGATTTTAGTCATTCTAACAGGTGTGTAGTGCTAGCTCATTGTTGTTTTAATTTGTAATTCCCTAATAAAGTATGATGTTGAACTTTTTAAATGTTTACTTGTCATCTGCATACCTTCTTAGGTGGGGTATCTGTTCAGATCTTTTGCCAATTTTTTAATTAGGTATTTTCTACTGTTTTTTAGGGATTTTTTTTTTTTAAACTTGGCTCCTTCTTGCTGTTGCCTTCTTTTTCTTTAAATTCTAACAAAGTTAAAGTAGTTTCAGGTAGAAGAAAAAAAAATCTTTTAGCCAACTTTCCCTTTTTACCAAGTGTTTTAAATACTGCTATACAGCTATGATTTCTAATTCTTAATCATCTAATGAGTGTTTCCTGATTTCCTCATGATACCCTCCTCTGCCCCTTCCCCTTAGGAGATGACCAGTATGCCCCCTCAGCTCCCAAGTTCCATCTCTAAGCCTTAGTATATGCAGGTTCTTCCTTACATCCTGCTTTCTGTCATGGGGGCTGTGTCCCTACTCCTCCTAGGTAGTCTATACACAGTGACCTTGGCCCCACTAATCTTCTTCACATCCTTCTATAGCTGGACAAACTATCCCCTTTCTTTTGTGATGGATTAGAGATGGGCAAGAGCCTGGAAAAAAATCACATTTGGTGAAAAGACTCTGGTCTTTGTAGACAAACAAATCTTGACTCCTCTGGGCAAGTTAATTAACTGTGCTGAGCCTCATGTCAAGTGGACAGGAGAACCCAGCTTACAAGGTGATTACAAATATTGAAAGTAAAACATGTAAAGGGGTTAGTCCATCCTTAGCATACAAGGCACTGCTTTTTTTCTCTTTTGGCTTCCCACCCCCTTTTCCACAAAAAAGCTTCATTTCTAAAAAGCCCTATCTCCTCCCCTGTGGGAACAAGGGATGCCACAGGCCTCAATCCTGCCCCTCCTCCTCCTTCCATCCCATTTCCTTCCTCTTTCCCCTCTCCCCCTCCCTCTCAACTGCTCCACAACAACTTCATAGAATGTAAAAAAATAATAATTAACAAAATTTTTTTCAATTAATTTTAAAAAATAAAATAAAATAAAAAATAAAAAGCCCTATCTCATCTTCAAACAATGAACTGTTCTTTCTTCTTCCTTTCATTCCAAGCTTATTGAAAGTTTATTCTCACTGTTGACCCTTCCTTGTCCCCTATTTGATTAATTTTGACCATTATTTCTTGAGCTCCTGCTAGGGATCACCTTCACCCATTTCAATACTATCCCAAATTCCGAATACATAATTGTGAATTAGTCTCATTGCAGCATTAACTACTTCCAGCACTCTGATCTTGGGGGCCTGCTCATTCTTGTGTCTTTTCTATCTTCTCTGGACATTTCTGTCTTGGGTACTCTCTACCTCTCATCTTTTCACATCCTTTCTCTGGGTAATCTCTTAAACTCCCATGACTTCAAAAACCACTACGTGCTAAAACTTCTAACTTTCTCTCTATCCACTCCAAATTCCAACCCTTAAGCCCTAGACCTGAGTTTCCAGCTATTCACAGGGATCTCTCTCTTTGGAGGTCCCACAGGCATCTTAATCTCCAAATCTGCTTTTGTCTCGTGGCTCCTATTTCCTAAATGGCCTCACCATTAAGCCAATGCTCAAGCAAGAAGCTGAGTCATCTTGAATGTCCCTGTCTTTTATTCTCCATATTGTGTATTCGAGTGATCATGATCCCCTTGATTTTTATTTCCACACTGGCTCTTGAATCCATCCCTGCTATTCCTAGTGCTTTGGTTCAGGCTCTCATCATGTCTTGCCTTGGCTATTGCTGCAGACTGGAAGCCCTTACTTCTAGTCACTCTCCCTGTTCATCCTCTGCTTAGATCCCAGATTCATCTAATTAATAGATCTGAGCATATTAATCATCTGATATAAAGTCTTCCAGAACACTGACTACACAAAATCCTGAATATTGATAGTTGCCATTAGAATGGAGGTACCTCAGATGGGCAACATTGTCTTATTAATTACTGTAGCCCACTGCCTACTATTATACATTAAATATGCATTAAGAAATGCTTATTAAATGAATTAATAAAAGCCCAGAACTATGCCATGTGCATGGAGAATATGAAAGAAATACAGGATGGTCCCTGTGCTCTAGGAGATTACACTCTTGTTGGAGAAACATGATATACTCAAGAAACTGTTAAGTACCTAAACTGAAACACAGACTATAAATGCCAGAGAAGCTCAGAAAAGAGACAGGTGATTGACTTCTGCAGGCTTAAAAGAAAAAAAGAAAAAAAGGAAAAAAGGAAAAAGAAAAGAAGAGAGAAAGGTGAGTATAAGATAAAACTGTTGGTGAAGATATCACAGAGGAGAAAAGACTTAATCAGGATCTAAAAGGATGGGTAGAATTTGTGACAGGAGAGTGTAAAAGGCAGGATGCTCCAGAATGGAAATGGCACAGAGTATTTGCAGAACAGAAAGGAGCCTGGCTTAATGGGAATAGGAGATTATGTTGGGGAACAATGGGACTAAGCTGGAGTCATAAAGTAGGGCCAGATTAACAGAGACTCAAAAGTCAGGAAAAAAGGAGTTTGCCTAAAATAAGAAAGGATTAACTTTTCTGAGTACTCTAATAATACAAAAGCTAACATATACAAAAGCTATAATAATATAAAAACTACCTTTTGATGTCCACACATGCTCTTTTAACACAGCAGTCCTTTGAGATAGGTACTATTATTCTCATTTTACTGATGAGGATATTTTGGCATAGAGCCATTAAATAATTTGCTCAAAGTCATACAGCTATGTGTGAGGTCCTGTGCTAAGCACTACTGGCACAGATAAATAAAATAGTTCCTGCTTTCAAATATCTTGAAATCTAACCAAAGAGATAGGTACACAAATGATTATTTCATAAACAATTACCTATAAATCAGAGTGTTAGATATTATAATAAATATATACACAATATAGGAGTGTTATTTTAGGATAACCAATGTGAAAGTATTAATCTGTAAAGGCTCTACTGGAAGACAAACACTGAAATAGGAGAAATAAGCTTCCTAACTAATACAGCCTCCTAGCTAATACAATGATGCAGGCAAGATTCAGTGAGGAAGGTGATGATGGTGGATGTGGTAAGACTGGAGAAGGGGCAGGATGCAAGACATTTTTCAAGGAGCAATGATAGTAACAGGCTTAATGTAAGAACAAAGAATCAGATTTAATTTTTTAATTCTGGGAAAATCAAAGAAAGACATTAATAAGAGGAAGATAAATTTATTTCAAGATATGTGAGTTGAAGATGAACTGCACTGCTCTGGGAGAATATAAGAGGCCTTAGTACAGTAAGATTCAGAAATGAGACTTTTAAATTGTTAGTAACCAGGCTTGAGTTGCATATAAAGAATTTTAATGTTTTGATTAGGCTCTCTGCCAGTAGGATGGCCTTTGAATATTTCCTTTGGTTTTATTTTCTCCTCACTCTCTGCTAATCTCTATTACCAATTCTGTTTTGCATCATACTTTCCACGGAAATGAGGTGTGATTACAAAGCAACAAAGCTGGTTTAAACATACAAAAACTTATCCAAAACTCATTCCAAAAATGCTGTTTTGCTCAATGCTTTTCTGGAACTTCTCTGCTGGAGTTTCTTTCAGAGTCAATCTATAATCCAAACAAGAAAACCAATTATTAAACAGTCACACTTTATTTGTAAACATCTCCAACCTAATCACCTATTAACTTAACTTAGCTCTGAGTTAACTTTTCTTGTTTTATCAAAAGTAAAATCTAACCTCAAAAAAAAAAAAAAAGAGAGAGAGAGATTTCTTGCGTACCAACACTAAGGTTTTTCCAGAGGTTGTGCCACTGACTCCTTGGGCAACTTCAACAGAGGTTTTCCTATTCTGAGGAGTGGTAACATCACCGTAGGGGAAAAGTGGAGAATTAACATGTCTAAGCTCCTACTGAGATCTCGGCGTTGTACTGCTAATTATTTCACAGATTTGCTTTTCATTTAATCCTTGAAGCAACCGTACAAGCCAGTACTATCATCTATACAAGTCAGTACTATGCTAAAGAAGAATAAAAGGAAGCCCAAGAACAATTAAATAACTTGCTCAGGGTTATAAAACTAATATGCAGCAGATGTGGAACTTAAAAATGATTTTGCTACTGAACCATACTGCTTCTAATAATATAAGAACACTACTTTCCAACAGATGGAAAAGTTATTAAACAGTATCATTCTACGTAATCCTATACTATATGCCCATAACTTTAATACTCTTTTAATTTCATTTCTTTCCCCACCACCACTTTCCGTATTGATTGAGGGAAATATGAGTAGCCAGCCATGAAAATCTGTCATAGATTTTGAGTTGTCTACCTTATAGAAATAGATCATCAGGCTTGATGATTATGATAGCAAAATATGGTTTAAGTATGTTATTATCCAGGTCAACAAGCAAATAGTATTTTCTTCCCTTTATACAATATCTTCAAATGAAGGCTATTGTGTATTTACCATCAGGGGCTTTATTCATGAACTCTTAACTAAACACAGTTTTACTTACTCCTCCTTTGCATTCTATTCATTCACCACTGTAATACTATCCACATTTATATATAGCAGACTCTTATACTATCTTAAACTGCGTTGGAAGTCTGCAGGCTTGAATTATTTAAAAGAAAAACATTTCCACTTGTCCTGCCAAGGATGTTGATCAATGCTCACTTAAGTGATGTAATCATCTCATTTTGTAAGCTCCACTCTCTCTCTTCAGGTGACTAAGCAGTCTGCAATCTTCCTTCCTTTAATTGAATAATTTTCAGACTTGTGTCTTATCCTTCCGGTTTCTACAGATTCACACAATCATTTTCTCCTGTGAATATGGTAAAAGGTTTCGTGGTTAGAGTCCTTCTATAGCAAACATCTCTAGAACTCTCTAGATCTGCTTCCCATACACTGTTCCAATGCAACCCCTTTATGTACTCTTGTTTGTGTTCCAGACAGACTGGCTACTCTGCAATGGCTATCTTTTTTCTGCTTTTCCTTCTTGCTTGCAGTTTTGCTTTTCCTTCTTCTTGTATTGACCTTCCTGTGTCCTCCACACATCCTTCTGGCTCAGATGTTTTTACTCCCACCTCTGGACCTGTGTGGCACTTTTGGTAATGTTATCACCTAACATTATAAACACAGCTACTGTTTATTAAGTGCTAACTACGTGCTGTGTCTGGAGCCTTATGGGACACAAACTCTCCAATTTTTTCCCTCATCCCCTCATAATGCACCTCTTGCTCTGTGAAGTCTGTCACTTACAGGCCTGGCACATGGCAGGTGCTCAAGAAGTAGAAGCCATTATTATTATGATTACGAGAACAAGAATCATATGAATTATTCGTGTTTGACCCCAACGCCTGGCACAACGTCTGGCTCACTCAATATACAAGAGTACTTCAAAGAGTTCATGAAAAGATTCGCACTAATTCTATTTTTCCACAAATTTTTTCATATGTTTACAAAACTAACCAATGAAGAGAACAAATGTCAAATAGTTGTAAGACCCTTGTGAGACAAACTGCAGCTTGTCAGAGACTGCTGAAACTAACCCTTCAGAGTCCAGAAAGGAAAAGTACACAGTTAACAGATATGGGGCTGGGTTTCCCAGAAGCATGGCCTGGAAGTCCAATAAGATAGGTAGTACTACCAGGCTTAGGAAGCTCTTTTTGGCTAGTGACTATAGAGGTTGACCATGGAAGAGGGCCTTCAGTGGATTACTCTGGACACACACCAATATCAGTTTGGCTCCCTAGGTGCAGATGGTATGGTCAGACCAATTCCCTTGGATCGGAGAGAAACTTGGGACTATATGAGAGGCTCCGATGCCTGATTCTTAGAAAGAATTGAAGCCTATGTCTGCAGAGACCCAATGGTAGGATCGCACTTCTTGACTTTCACTTCTTGAGATACCAAACTGTCTATTCTATGGCCTGTTTATGGTTCTTTGAATTTGATAGCCCTAAGATTTTTTTGGTTCATGTTATAGCAATACACATAAATCATAGACTCTTTAGTTCAAGCACCCATCTGACAATTGACTTTCTTCTACAATACTCCCACCAAGTGGTCATCTGGACCACACTTGAACACCCTGAATGACTGAGAACTCATCTCCTGCAGAGACTGCCTATTTCATCTTTAGTTTATTTTTTAAATGAACTATAATTGATTACACATATTTATGGAGTACAGAGTTGACTATCAGTATTTGTGTGCAAATGTGATGATCAAATCAATATTATCAGCATGTTCAATATTAAAAATCATAATTATTTTTTGTGTCTCTTACCCAATTTTGTCCTAGCCCCCCTTCCCAGTTTATCTTTTGACGTCACCCGTTGGAAATAACTGTATTGGGCTGAAATATGCCTCCCTTAGTTTCTATCCATTGACTTCAGCTCCTCTACTTACAGGCATGTGGAACAAATAAAAACTTCTTATTTTCCTTCAGAAATCTGAATAAAGTGGCCATTTCCTGAGTTTGTTTGTTTTGTTTTTCTAGGTAAACATTCCCAGTGCCTTTAACTCTTTGTTTTTGTTAGATGTTCTCACCGACATCTTTCTCTTCTGTATATTCAAGATGATGTATATGCCATGTATCTAACCCAGAGCTAGATAAACTTTAGGTGTGCCCTGGCCACCACAGAACAATGTGAGACAGTCACCTCCACTGTGTTCTGAGTACTATATTTCTCATAATGCAACCAAAGACCATGTAAGCTTTCTTGGTAGCGACAACAAACTGTTTACTCACATTGAGCTTATAGACAACTAAACACCCCTAAATTCCACACATACTCCTGCTAAAAGCCCATTACATACCAATGCAATTGTTTTAGGGGGGAAGGAGGTAGAGAGAAAGGTTTGATTACCATGCTGATACTTCATAAAGTTTGGGGCCCAAAAATTCAACCCAGGATTTTGCATTTCTTTCTTTTTTTTTTTTTTTTCCTTTTTGTCTTTTTTCGTGACCGGCAACGGATCGCAACCCTCAGTGTCGCGCCCATACCAGACCGGGACCGGCCACGGGATCGCAACCCTCGGTGTTGCTCCCGCCCCTCGCTCAGCCAGTGAGCGGCCGGTCTGTATGTGGGATCCGAACACTCGGCGGGAGCGCCGCCACACTTCCCAAGCGGCGCACTATAGCAGTGCGCCACCGGGCCGGCCCAGGATTTTGCATTTCTGATGATACATATGCCCATGCTTAGTTTGCTAGCCCAAAGGATTAGGCAAACTAGTGATGAGTCACAGACTAGATGTCACCTTAGGCTAGTCACCTGTGCTTTATTTCATGGTCTCAGACTGCAGACTTTCTCAAAATTACCCATCTTTCAAATGTATGATATTTATCACCAGAAGAACTGGTGAAAAGACTATAAATGACTCAATGCAAAGCCATTATCACCACTGGAAAAATAATTCAAAGATAAGCATATATACAGTACATTAAAGATGGTATATTTATAATTTTCCATGGGAGAATTATATCTAAACACCTTTTCCTTGATTAAAAATATTTTATAGAGGGCCGGCCCGGTGGCGCACTGTAGAGTGCGCCGCTTGGGAGCACGGCGGCACTCCCGCCGAGGGTTCGGATCCCATGTGGAGACCAGTTCCTGCTCACTGGCTGAGCGAGGTGCGGGCGCAACACCGAGGGTTGCGATCCCGTTGCCGGTCCCCGGTACGGGCGCGACACTGAGGGTTGCGATCCCATTACCGGTCAGTAAAAAAAGACAAAAAGGAAAAGAATATATATATATTTTATAGAGATAACACTATATTTTCAAAGCATTTCAACTTAGTTCATTAGATTCTTTCAAATCAAAAAAAGTAAGGTAGGTATTATTATCCTTGTATTTAGACGAAGAAATTGAGACTCAGAAAAGTTGTGAATTATCTATAGTTACATGGCCAAAAAGGGGTAGAACAAGGGATGAACACTAAATCCTTTGATTTCTAGTCTAGTTCAGTCTCCATTGTACTCATGGCATTCCAACACAAGTGAGACAGACCAAGTCCCTGGCCTTAAGGCACTAATATCCAAGGTGTTCTCTAGGTGTTAGGCAATGTGCTCTACTTGCCATTGCCATCCGGATTTTAAAAAGGGTCTCACATTTCAGCAATTATAAAATCATAGAATGTATGAGAATTAGTCCAATACCTTTAACTTTAGAGATTAGGAGGTGGCATCAAATAATTTACCTAAAGCTGCAGTTACCTAATAGTAAAATCAAGGTTAGAACCTATTAAATACTCAGTCCAATATCCTTTCTCTTACAAAATACAAGTAAGCAGCTACTACCTATAGCAAGGACATTTCTAAAAATGAGGTCTGACACATATTCTCTGTAACTCAGGAATGTCATGCCTAAGGATCCCACCAAATTCCTAATCCAAGAGAATATGGGCCAAGAAGTTAATCAAAGAGGGACAAACCATGAGATACTGAACCAGCAACTTTCCTGTAAACAGAGCTGTACTATATGAAGCAGCCCAAGGGGATAGACCCTCCCATCCCAATATCTACTATTGTTGGAGCTATTCGGGGATTTAGACTATATGGGAAGATGTGCATAGGTTATATGCAAATACTACGCCATTTTATATCAGGGACTTGACCATCTTCAAATTTTGGTATCTGCAGAAGGTCCTGGAACAAATCCCCAACAAATACCAAGGGATGACTGTATATGTAAAAAGGACCTGGTGAGTGACTATGTAAACATTTGTAAATACTGACAGGATGTTCAATTTGATTCAACAATCATTTATTGAGCATCAGTTATATGCAAAGCACTGTAGATTCAAAGATATGCCATACCTCTATTCTCAAAAAACTTTAACAGATTCAATAGTAGCTGCACAGAGTGCTATGGCAACACAGAAATAGGAACTTAGCAAGGAAGGAGCCAGGGAGGCTTTCCAGAAGAGAAGACACTTGACTTGAACCTTACGGTTTGAGTAGAAATTACCTAGGTGAAGAAGCTGAGCAAAGACAAAGGCATGATATGGTGTGGAGTGTTTATGCAATTAGAGGTAGTTTGACAATGCTAGAGTCCAAAGTATCAGGCAGGGAAGAGGCACGGCATGAGGCCAAATCCGAGGGCCTTATGCCATGCCATTTTAGACTGCAGCCTAAACTAATGGATTATTCTGAGAATCAAGGTCAAGGGGGAATTTGAAGTTGGGAGGTAGGAAGACTGATTATGAAGTAATCTAGAAGATGATGAGAGCCTGTACAAGAACAGTAGCAATAGGAATGCATAAAATGCATCAGATAGGCCATATTTCAGAAAAAAATTAGGCTACTGTATGATGTTTTCTGAGGGGTGGTGTCTCCTGATCTAAATATTTCTCTCAGGGTCTCTCCTCAAGCCTGACAGTTCCACCATCAGAGGTCCTTCCTACAGGATCTTTAAGAGTTTCCTACTAAAATAGAGTTGAACACTGCATTTTAGTGTATATCAGCTAACAGTAAGATGGATTATAAAAATTTACTGGTACAGTTAACAATAATGCATCGTATATTTCAAAATAGCTAAAAGAGAGGATTTTAAATGTTCTCATTACAAAGAAATGATAAATACTTGAGGTGATGGATATGCGAATTAGCCTGATTTGATCATTCCACAATATGTACATGTACTGAAACATCACATTGTACCCCATAATGTACACAATTATTTGTCAATTAAAATAAACGAAAACTTAAAAAAAAAATTTTTAAGAGGCCTTTCAGAGATGAGCAGTGCTAATCATGAGAAGAAAGGAACCCAAAGCAAAAACAAGGGACGAAGAGTTCAGGCTGCTAAAAGGGAGACAAAGAAACTCATATGTCACAATTTTGACTAGGCTGGTCTTACTCTGCTACAAAATCCTTTTCAGTAAACTTGGGTGTTCTACTCCAAATGTCTTTCATGTAAGACACTTAAATCTATATAATGATGATAATAATAATAATAAAATAAACCCTAGCAAAAAAAGAATTGTGACTTCTGAGCTAAGGAACACCATGTAGGGACAAGTTAACCCAGAAATTGGGCCTTAGAAAGTTGTTTAGAAACTGGATCACCTCAGATCTTTATCTTCTTGACTATGAGTGAAATATTGGTTCCTATAGTTTCATTTCCAGTAAATGTCAAATACCAAGAAACCCTGCCCCTTATCTCACAGTATTATTAGGAGAATCGAATGGGATAAGAAGACGCAAAAGGCTTTGTGTGCTGTAAAGTGCTTAAGGAGGGCATAAGCAGTCCCTCTGGCTCACAGGAAAAAAGAGGACAGGTGGGATCTCTGTGACATTACCCTGGCAAGGACTGGGCACCAATGATCTTCACAAAATTTTAGTCCTTCACATGTTAATGAGCAAAACCCACAGTACCTTGAGAACCTTCCTTAAGTATTAAAATGAACACTTTATGAATTTAAAAGTAACACCTAAAAACAGACACTCATACAAATAAGCTCATTCTGTAGAACCACCCTCTATAATGAAACTTTTGTCATAATTAAACAGAGGAATTTATATATGACTAGATTATTAAAATTATATTTTATTAGAATTATATTTTATTAGAATTAGGAAAAGACTTGGGTCATCTCTATAGACTATCTTCCCAGTTCTCTCCCCTCCCCTGCCTTTCTTACAACAGGAAAACTGAGGTTACAGTAGAACCCAAACTAAACTGCGGGTTTCATGACTCCTGGTCTACAGCTCTTTTTTCTATAAAATATATATTTTAAAAATTTCAAACACAAAGAGAACATGGGTAATAACAAACACCCAGATTTTTAAAATGTTAATACTGTCATATGCTTCAGATCTCTTTTTGAAAGAATTAAAACATTATACATCAGCAGATGATCCCCATTCCTCTATCTCATTCTCCTACCTTCCTCTCCAGAGGAACCCACCATATATCGAGGTTGTGTGTATTCTATCTTTCCTGCCCATGTTTTTATACAACTTACCAAATTACAGATCATACATCATAAAGCACACCACGTTGTCACAGAAAGAGTTGTTCTTCAAAACAAGGAAGAGTCCCTTACTCTAGAATGCTTAAACAGTTATAACTTTTAGGGTTTGGTTACATATTTCAGAAAGAAACTAGAGCAGGGCTTAAAGTCTTTTTCAATGATTACCAGAGAAGGATCTAGTGAAGTGCCTTGTTATCATTCAGAATGAAAAATAAATCAGGCAAATATAAAAATTTTAATACAACTTTTTTTATTCTTCTTTATTCTAAAGTTTGTGCTTTGTATTTGTGAAACACTGGTTTATAATGACCTAGTGTGAATGATCTATCACTGAACAATAGAAAAAGATGGATTAAGCAATTTAAGTAGTAATAATAGTTTCTACTCCTTCTTCGAGGTCCAACTAAAATGTCACCACCTCAGTGAATGTCCTTGATCACATCATAATTCCTTCAGCAATGATTTATTGAGTGCCAAAGCCCTTTAGATTCAAAAGTATATCAGACCCAGTTCCCGCAGAGTTCAGAAATAATTACACGATAGTATCTGATAAATATACTAAGAGAGGTATCTATAAAGGACTGATGGAGCCTAACTTTTTGTGGGACAATTAGAGAAGACCTTATAGAGGAGGTGATATTTCAACTGCACCTTGCAGGATGAGTAGGAGTTCACAAAACAGAGGATGTAAAGTGATTCCAGGTAGGGAGACACTGAATGAGAGGGTACGAAGGATGGTAAGATATTAGTTTTAGGAAGACAACTAAGGATAGACATCAGAGGTGGAGAGACAAGTCAGAAGACTGGCAACAACCCAAACAAAAGATGACATGATTGCAGGCATAAGATGGGAGGTGGAAGGATTTTAACAAAACCCAGGAGATAAATTTAGCAAAACTTAATGCTTGATTCTATGGGGGAAAGAACATGGAGGAATTGCGAATGACTCCCAAAGGCTTGGCAAATGAGTGGGTGGTGAGGCCATTACTGAAATAAGGAATGTAGTATAGAAGACAAGAGCAGGCCTGAGAAAGGGAGTTAAAAGTTCAGTTTGAGGCATTTTGATTTGGGGATGAAGCCTCTTTAATGAGGTCTTCAATGATTCCCTTTTCTAGGCTGGAAATCACCCCTTCATTTGCACTCCATAGCATGTTGTATACCTTTTTCATATTAAATTATTTAAATCTGTTTTATTTACAAGTATTTACATGTCTGTCTCTACATCATGGAAAAAAGGTACAAGGTCTTCTCCATCTTTGCATTGCCGTGATGGTGGTGCCTTACACACAGAAAGTCCTCAGACTTTGCATTCTTGAAAGGGCAGCTTTCAGTAGATACTAGAAATGGTCAGCTAACATTGCTCAAAACAATGATCAAAACCTGTGAGTTAGTGGCCTATATAAAATACCTAAAGTATTTTGCCCTACAGCACCTACTTCCAACGTAAGATTCTATATAAATGAGCTCCCTTTGTGATTACCTTATCCTACTTTTAAACAACCTGCAAGGCAGTATTTGTACTCTGATTTTACAAATAGAGCAACAGAAGTTCCGAGTGACTGAATAACTTCCCTGGGGTCACAAGGTCTCTAAGTGACTAAACCAGGATTTGAGCAGACTGGTCCTTCACCATACTGCCTGCCCAAATGTTTACTGTCCTAATTCTCACTAAGGGGTGAAACGGGGATCCTCCTTTGGCTCCTGAGGGGGTGGCACCCTCTAGATCAGCGGGAACAGCAAGACGGGCCCTTACTCCCACCACCTCAACTACAGTCTACAGTGCCCCCTCCCCAGGAATGTGCCCATATGAGCACTCGCGCTGCCGCGGGCAGAGCTTAAAAGGGGCTCCAGGGTCCAGAGGATGCAGCCCTGCCCGGGGACCCGGCATTTTACTATTCCAACTCGACGAAGGCACATGGAACCGCAAGCTTCCACCGCCTCCTCACCTGACCCCTGCTTCAAACGAAGTCGCGCGGCCCTGAAGCCCAGGGTGGAAGCGCGAGGCCCAGGCCGGGACTCCGGGTCGGCTCCTCGGGGTCAGAACTCCTCACACATAATGGGAGAGACAGAGGTGCTGCCTCGCGCCCGCGGGACACCGGAACTCGTCCCATACCTTCCTCAGCAGTCCCGTGCGGTGGGCCGGCCCGGCTTGTTGCCTCCATTCCGCAGACCAGAGAAGGAGGTCGAGGAGGCGAGGGCCCCCGCGGAGGTCCGAGAAGGCGAAGGCGGAGGCGCGGCGGGCCGGCCATTTACCTCAGACCCGCGCCGCAGCCTCCGGGAGGCCACGCCCAGGCCTCCCTCACGGTCTCTCCAGCGTTCAGCCTCGACACCTCGGGGCAGGTGAGGGAAGGAACCTGAAGGCTAGGGCGAGTGCGAGGGCTAAGAGAGCGAGAAGACCGCCTCGGGCACCTGCGCGAGGGCCTCTAAGGGCGGCGGGAGGGAGCAGCCTCCGCTGCGCCGTGCAGCTGAAGCTCGAGGCTCGGCGCGGTCCCGCCCGCGGAGGAGGCGTGCCCTGGCGCGTGCTGAAGGAGGTGCGAAGGGCAAGGGGCGGTCCCATTGTGCAGCCCTGCAGCGCAGATTGGCTGCTCGCCGCGGAGGCGCAAGGAGGGGGCGTGCCGTGCGCACGTGATGCTTTCCAGGCTCGACTGCACCAGAGTGGGAGAGAGGCGCTTGCGCGGGCCTGGCTTCCTCCTCCCAGGATCAAAGGGCGGTCAGTTTAGGTCCGGACTCCAGCGATTGCTGAATCAAGCCATGGCCGGACCTGAGTGGGAGTCGCTGGAGCAGTGCCTGGAGAAGCACCTACCACCGGCAGACTTGCGGGAGGTGAAGCGCATTCTTTATGGCAAGGAGACCAGGTCTGGGGCCCAGAGGCAGAGTTGGGGGGGGTCTCGGGACCACTAAGTGTGGGTCGGGGGGATGGGGGAAAGCTTCAGAGTCCGAAGGGTTCTGAGGAGTGGTGATGAAGTCCTGAGTTGGTGGGCTGATACCACAGGAGATTTAGACGTGACAGCCCCTGGGGCCCTCGAGGGTTGCAAAATCCCCGAGTGACCTTTACAAATCACTTTCCCCCCACGTTTCCCTGGACCTAGAACTGGAAAGGAAAAGGAAGGTTTTTACTCTCCAGGGCTTTCTCTGTGGCCACCCCCAAACCTCTCCCCCCTTTGAGTGACCAGCTTCCTCCCCAGAGGCAGGCCTATTCTGTGGACGTCTGGCCCTGGCCGTGTCAGTGCCTCCAGCCAGAGCCCCCTAGCAGATGTGCTGATTGTCCAGCCCCACACCCGCCTTCCTGCAGTGGCCAGGCCTCTGGCAGACCCTTGGAGATAGAGGCTGGCTGAATCTAGCTAGCCCCAGAACCTTTCCTGCTGGCAAGCCACAGGAGTTAGTTACCATGCTTGGTACAAGTCTTCCCACTCCCAGCAAGTTGCGTGTGCCACTAGGATTTTCTGAGGGCAGTGCACTGCTGGACATTGGGTAAACAAAGCTGGATCTTCTCTTCAGTCCATGTGTCTCTTCAGCAACCAGATGGACCTTTTTAAAATGTAAATCATATCCTGATGCTCCTTTGCTTAAAACTCTATAAGAAATTTCCTGGGCCTTTAGAAGGATATCCAACCCTGACCCCATGCAGCTCCTGACTAAATCTCCTTCCACTTCCTTGTTCATTTGTGGGCTCCCTGCCACCCCCAAACCAGCCAGATTGTGTGTGTGCTCCAGGACCTTGTGGCAGTGACCTTGCTGCAGGAACCTAATCAGCTCACCAGTAACTGGAGGGTGTTGACTGGATCAATGGTTTCCAGTGTCAGATCCAAGGGTGTTTTTGCAGTTAGTGGATGGTAAAGATAAAACAACTGTCTTTGGGGGTGTGGTGTTACAGAGCCTTATCAAAAAGAGGGGCTGGATGACCTTCAAGACCCTTCCCAATGTGCTGATACTGTACTTCTCTTCTACTTTCCACTGCACCTGTAAAGACTAGTCACCTGGAAAGTGTCTTAGAGTTGAGGCTTCCAAAGAAGGTGTCTTAATTAAAGCAAGAATGTCTTAGGCTTTAGTTTCTAGGGATGGAAATTAGTTTAAGGGTGAGATCAGCATGTTTTCCTGGAAAAAAGACGAAGAGAACTCATGGGTGTCAGGGAGAGATAAAGCAGAAGAATCTTAGGAAAAGAAATAAATTTCCCACATGGGCGACTGGTTGGGGCACATTCTGGAGTAGGACTGAGGTTAGGCCAAGGACTACCATGCAAGAGCGATTTTATCAGTATTTGGATCGCTCCAGAGTGGGGAGGGATTATAATGAGTGATAAAATGGTAGCCAGCGTCTATTGACCACTGACTGCCAGGCCTTATACTGGGGTTTGGTTCAGAATAACTGAGTAAATGGCTCCCCTTTTCCTCTCTTTTCCTTAACCCCCTTTCTTGGTTCTGTTCCACTTTACCCTTCCAGGTTTTATCTCTAAGGTGTAAACCTTTGTACTTGCTCAGTTCTTGGAATTGGGTGGGATTTGGCTACGAATGGGATTTTGAACTGAAGATAGAAAATTATTACCCATTTAAGAGGTCTTCTCACACTTAAACACCTGTTCACTCCTCAAAGCCTGACTTAGACATGGCCCCCTCTGTGAAGCCTCTGAAGGCTCTGGGGGAGAATCCTTCCTTTCACTTTTTGGTCATCTCTGGCATTCCTTAGCTTGTGGCAGCCAATCCCTGCCTCCATCTTCATATAGCCGTCTCCTGTTGTCCCTGTGTCTCTCCTCTGGGTGTCTCTTATAAGAATCCTTGTCATTGGATTTTGGTTTTACCCAAATAATATAGGATGATCTTCTCTTGAGATCCTTACCTTTATTACATCTGTGAAGACTCTTTTTCTAAGTAAGGTCACATTCATAGTTTCTGGGTGTTAGCATGTAGACACAATTCAACGCACTCCAGGTACCTTTGGGGTCTCCAGGTAGGGGTGTCCAGTGGCCTTTGGCTATGTGGAGGTAGGCCTCTGGGGAAGAGGCTGGGCTTGGCAGCTGTCTAGAGATGGTCTTTCCAGGTGGAGGAGGAGTGGGTGCAGAGTGGGAGAGGCCTGGAGGGAATGCCGGAGAGCCCGGATGTTATAGATGTCAGAGAGAGCAGAGACTTTGGTGGGAGACTCTGGAGGTGAGGATGCTGGGGTGGGAGGATTCTAGGGCAGGACTGGAAAAGAAGCGTCTGATGATACAGGGGGGGACAGCAGGGAGTCTACTCACTTTAGCAGTAGAAAGGCTGGCGGCAGTTCTTGAGGTGGGGAGTGGGTACCAGAGAACAAGGAGCTGAGGAGAGGTTGGGAAGTGAGGGCTGAGCTGAGGGAAAGTGTGTTTGGAAGCTCCCTACGAAGGGGAGCAGAAAGGAGAGAGCAAGTGAGGTAACAAGATGGACGCCTGTGGAGTGCTCTCTCTCTCTCTCTCTCTCTTCTGTTTTTTTTTTTAACAGGAAAGACTCTTAACAGCTTTAATGGTGGGTGTGGTAGGTTTTTAGGTTTCAACAGGGAGAGATGTCCAAGCTGAGTATACTGTTAAGTGAAAAAGGTAAGTTGAAGAGCACAATATTCAGGACGATGCCATTGTATTCATAATCAAACACCTATATAGAAAAACATTGGAAAGATACATAAAACATTGTTTCAGAGGGGTTGTCTCTGAGGTTTGGGACTGGGGCTTAGGAGTGGGATGGAGAGGGGACCTTATTTTTCATTTTATACCCTTTTCTGTTGTTTGATCTTTCCCTGCCATGAGCATGTTTCTTTTTTAACAAAGCTCTAGTTTAATTATTTAAAACGCTGATGGTAAAGAGCCATTAGAGGGGGGGAAATGAAGTTCCATAAGTGAGAGGTTGCTGAGGAGGCAGGAGCTTGGCACACTTAGGCATGGTCTGCCTTGACCCCGGGTTGGGGAAATGGGGGCTCGGGAGGGTGTACTGGTGCCAAGACAGGAAGTGATGGGCTTTCCTCCTTGAAGTTGGAGGTAAGACAATGAAGGGTAGGGGGTTGAGAGCCAACTGCAGGGACCAAGAGAGGGTAGTGAACAGCATGGTGGACCCCATATTGGGTTGTGGCTCGTTTGCTGTTCTCTGCCCTCCTGAGCTGTGGCTGATCAGTGCCTGTCTTAGTCCATTTGGGCTCCTATAACAAAATACCATAGACTGGGTAGCTTATAAACCACAGAAATTTATTCTTTACAGTTCTGGAGGCTCGAAAGTCCAAGGTCAAGCCTCCAGCAGATCCAAGGTTTGGTGAGGGCCCATTTTCTGGTTCATAGATGGTGCAAGAAGAAAGAAAGTTCCCTCAGGCCTCTTTTATAAGGGCACTAATCCTATTCATGAAGGTGGAGCCCTCATGACCTAATCACCTCCCAAAGGGCCCCATCACCTTAGGGGTTAGGATTTCAATGTATGAATTTTGGGGGGACGTAAACATTCAGTCTACTGCAGTGCCCACTGCATCTCCTGTGCCAAGACTTTGGTGGGCACAGCACATGTTTATTGAATGTGTCTGCACAGGGTGCGGCTTGAGCACAGATTGGGTTCCCTTAGATGCAGTGGGTCAGGACATGGTGATGAACTGCCTTGGATAACAAACAAGAGGACAGGGAGACCTTATAGGTGGTGACTGGATAGTAGATGGGGTGCTAAGGAGAGGTAGAGCCCCAAAGGCAGCCATCCCAGAGAATGGAGTGGCCTGGCCTGCATCACCTTGGGCCTAGGAGAGTGAGTGTCCGCAAGGAGATAAGGGTGAGGGGGTGGGAAGCCTCAGCATAGATGGAGGGGGAGAGGCAAAGGATGTTGTGCATCATGGGAAGATGGGGAGAGAAGACAGCTGTGGGCAGTAGATGGAGAGAGACATCAGCCAGATGATAGTTACAGCCAGGCTTGTACCCCTGAGACAAAAGTGCTTCCAACTGACATCTTCCTGGACCGAGACCTTAGGCTGAGGACAGGGCCTGCCAGGACACTTCCAAAGGGCAGTCCAGCTCCTGGGCCCACGGACCTTTGGGAAAGAGACACACAGAGCCTTTTTCCTTTTCTCCTTGTGGCTGCTTATGCATATGTGAGTTGCAGCTACTGAAAAGCTGCCTGATTGTGTCCACCAGGCATGACTTGTCCCGGAGCTGGGGCCTGAGAAGGACCCTTCCACCTGAGGGTGGGAGGACTGCCTGAGGCAGTGACAGTGAGGGGAGGCATGGTGTGGGCACTGTTGCTATTTCTAACCTGCTGGAGTGAAGGGAATCTTGACTATTTGAAAAGCAGGCTTATTGTCAGGGGCGGAACCGAACTCAGAGCTGTCAGGGCCGTCACACAGAAAGCGCCTGGCAGGGGGCGGCGACAGGGGGCTTGGGCTGACAGGGCTGTGATTTTGAAAGAAACGTCTTTTAAAAAGTCATTTAAAGTAGGAGAGAAATATTATTATTAGATAATGGCTGTCAGGTTATTTTTTGATGTGTTCTCTGGGTATTTCATAATCATCTTGCCCTTAGATGGTAAGCCCTTCCTGGCTGGGGGCCATGTCCCATGCCTCTGAGGGTTTCACCCCAACTCTGGGAATGCAACAGGCATCAGGAGGTATTTGCTGTTTGGCCAATGGTCACTTAGGTGGGGGATTCTGTAAATAATTCTCTAGCCTTTGTTAACAAACCACAAAACAGGATAAGCACTTGGGCCTTCCACGTGGTCCCATCAGGCACGCCCAGCATCATGCATGGAACTGCACCCACCCCTGTCATCCCCAGCAGGAGCAGCAGCAGGATAAGGTGGTGGGGATCACCTACCTGAGACCCAGCATCCTTACTGGCGAGTTGCCACAGGGCCCTCCATACTGGTCTCAGTTCCAGGCCTCTCCATCCAACTGTCTCCTAAGTCTCATTCTCTACAGCACCTCTCTGTATCACAACCTGCCCTGTCCCCTAGGCTCAGATAGCCCTCTGATCCTCGTTCAGAAACGTTTTATGGAATCTATTACCTCCTTTCTGTGCTGACTGCTGGGACTTTAAACCCTGCCCTGATTTCAATAACTCTAAAACACCAACCCCCGTGGCCAGGCCTAATCATGCCACCTGCCTGCCTAGGTCTCCGCACTGACTCTCAGGCAAAGTCCAGACTCAGGGTAGTGTCCATTCACAGCTGGGCCCTCCTGCTCCCAGCCCCCTTGGGCCCTGGCACTGGACACCTTCTTGCCAGGACGCCCCCACCTCTTCTCTACCTGATAAATGACTGCAGGGGGTTAGAGGGGCTTAAAATGCGGCTGACTACATCAAAATCCTCTTTCCTCTTTCCTGCTCATTTAGGAAGCTTGATCTGCCCAGCAGAGCTTTTGAAGCCGCTTCCGAAGGAGACTTTGAACTGCAGGGATATGCCTTTGAGGCGGCCCAGGAGCAGCTTAGAAGACCCCAGATCGTTCGTGTGGGGCTGGTTCAGAACAGAACACCCCTCCCTGCAGGTGCCCCTGTTGCAGAACAGGTACAGCCTCTTTTGACTGCAAATACATAAACGGGAGCTGTGGCTGCCTTTGTTTTGAACATGTCCGCAGTCCCTGACTGGCCACTGGTTCCAGGCGGCAGTCTTGGGCACCTAGAATGGTAGCCCTGACCTCCCTGCTCCTGCTCTGGCCTCCTCACTTCCCTCCATCCAGCGTCTCTGGCTCTTCCATCTCCTCTGGTTCTTATCTTTTCTCTCTTTCCTCTCTTCCTCACTGTTCTTTCCACCTTCCCCTCCATTTCCTCTCCCCCTGTTGATCTGAAGTTTTAGTTACCAACTGAGAGGGTGCCCTTTTGGCCAGCTGGTGCTCTCTCCACGGGACGCTGCTTCTCATCTGCGTGCCAGAGGGCTGTCTGCCAGCACACACCGGTCAGGACCGTCCATGCGTTCTGCTCGCTGCCTTAATCCTAAGGGCGGGGACTCACTATACCCAGAAGTGTGTCAGCTGATGGTGCCTGCAGGCTTACGGGAATCCGATCAGCATTTGTTTATGACCTTACGGTTAATAAATAAATGTGACAGCATCTTGTATTTCCCTAAAGAAACATGTTGTCATAGACACAGGAGATTTGTTTTATACACTTCTCCACAGCATTCTTCTAGCTGCTCAAACTTTCAGGGCTTTCTCTGCAGAGGTTTCCTCAGGATACAGTGTGCTTAAGAATTCTTAGGGATTCTTGAGAAACCTAAGGTCACTTGGATTCAGGTTGAGTTCTGTATCATCTTTCACATCAGTCCTTCCTTTGCTTTCGCTGGATTAGAAGCTGTCTGGTTCTTAAGAGCAGCGGGCACAGTGGCGGTGCAGTCTCCCAGCTGCGTGCAGAGCAGGAGGGATCTCCTTACACAAGCACTTCCTGGCAGAGAGGTTGGATCTTCAGCACCCCAGGCCTGGGCCGCCCCTGCTCTGCCACCTCTTTCTCTTTCTCAGGGCTCCCTAGTCCACACGGCCTCTGACACTGCTCAGTAAAATAGGAAACAAGGTCATCATATGAAAATGAGGATGGGAAGAAAGATGATGGAAGATTGAGGAGTGAAAAGTATGAAAGTCGTGTAAGAGAGTGGCAGAGTGAATGAGTCAGGAAAATAAGGTATAATTGTCAGGCAGCATTAAGGACTCATTTGAGGTTCCTGGTCATGAATTTAAAGAGAAGCCACACCATACAGATTTAATGCAGTCTCTATCAAAATACCATTGAGATTGTTCACAGAAATAGCAAGAAAAATCCTAAATTCATATGGAACCATAAAAGACCCCAAATAGCCAAAGCAATCTTGAGCAAAAAGAACAAAGCTGGATTCAAAATGGACCTGTATCGGTCCATTTCTGTTGCTCATAACAAAATACTTAGAACTGGGTAATTTATAAAGAAAACGAAATTTGTTGCTTACAGTTTTGGAAGCTGGGAAGTCCACAGTCCAGGGAACATTTATAGTGAGGGCCTTGTTAGTGGTGGCCCCACAGCAACCCAGGTGTCTCACATGGAAGAAAATGGCAGAGCAGAGAGAGAGAGAGACTCTCACATGCTCTCCTTTGAAAGCTGCCAGAACCATGCTCCGACCACCGTTATTAATCCGCTCATTACAGCATGGTCCTACAGTCTAATCACCTCTCCAAGGCTCCCCCTTTCAATCATCACAATAGGATTTCTTATCCTCTTAACATTGTCACATTGGGGACCAAGCCTTCAACACATTAAACTTTGGGGGGACATGATTTAAGCTTCAGTGAGTTTGGGGGGGACATTCAATACACAGCACCAGCTGACTTCAAAATATACTACAAAGCTGTAGTAAGCAAAACAGCATGGCACTGGTGTAAAAATAGACACATAGACCGATGGAACAGAATAAAGAACAGCCAAATGATTTTCAACAAAGGTACCAAGAGCATATGTTAGGGAAAGGACATTCTCTTCAATAAATGGTGCTGGGAAAACTGGATGTCCATATTCAGAAGAGTGAAACTAGACCCCTGTCTCTCACCATATATAAAAATCAACTCAAAATTGGTTAAAGACTTAAATGTAAGACCTGAAAGAAACCATGAAACTACTAGAAGAAAACATAGGAGAAACACTTCAGGACATTGAGCTGGGCAGAGACTCTATGAAGAGGACTTCAAAAACACAGGCAACAAAAGCAAAAATAAACCATTAGGATTATATCAAATGAAAAAGTTTCTACACAGCAAGGGAAGCAGTCAACAGAGCGAAGTGACAACCTGCAGAATGAGAGAAAGTATTTGCAAATGATTTACGAATAGTTTACAAACAGGACAAGGGATTAGTATTAGAATATATGAGGAACTCAACAGCAAAAAAACAAGTAATCCAATCAAAAAATGGGCAAATGAGCTGAATAGACATTTCTCAAATGAAGACGTAGAGATAGCTAACAGGTATATGACAAAATGCTCAACATCACTAATCATTAGGGAAATGCAAATCAAAACCATGATGAGATGTCATCTCAGTCCAGTTCGAATGGTTATTATCAAAAAGACAGAAACTAGTGAATGTTGACAAAGATGAACAGAAAGGGAAATTCTTGTGCCCTGTTAGTGGAAATGTAAATTACTACAGCCATTATGAACATGCTCAACATCACTAATCATTAGGGAAATGCAAATCAAAACCATGATGAGATGTCATCTCACTCCAGTTCGAATGGTTATTATCAAAAAGACAAACTAGTGAATGTTGACAAAGATGAACAGAAAGGGAAATTCTTGTGCCCTGTTAGTGGAAATGTAAATTACTACAGCCATTATGAAAAACAGTGTGGAGGTTCCTCAGAAAACTAAAAATAAAACTACCATATGATCCAGCAATCCCTCTTCTGGGTATATATCCAAAGGAATGGAAATCAATATCATAAAGATATTAGCACTCCCATGTTTATTGCAGTGGTGTTTGCAATAGCCAAGATACGGAATCACCGTAAGTGTCCATCAGCAGATGAATGTATAAAGAGAATATGGTATATATACACACAGTGGAATACTATTCAGCCATAAAAAGAATGAAATCCTGTTATTTGTGACATGTAAGAACCTGGCAGACGTATGAAGCAAAGTAAGTCAGACACAGAAAGGCAAATACTGCATGATCTCTCTCAGGTGGAATCTAAAAAGGTGATCTCATAGAAGTAGACAGTAGAATAGTAGTTACTGGGGAGGCTGGGGAGGGAGTGGGGGAGGGTGGAATAGGGAGAGGTTGGTCATTGGATACACAGATAGGAGGAAATAGTTCTGGTGTTCTGTTGCACAGTAGGATGACTATAATATTAAACAATAATGGTTGTATATTTCAAAATAGCTAGAAGATTTTGAATGTTCTCACCACGAGGAAACGTTAAATGCTTGAGGTGATGGATATGCTAATTACCCTGATTTGATCATTACACAATGTACACATATATCAAAACATCACATTGTAACCTATATAAATGTAGAATTATGTATCAATTAGAAATAAAATTTAAAAATAGAAAAAAAATAGAAGCTGTCTGGTTCTCAGTTCACTTTTTGTCTCTGGATTTGTTGTTTGTGAATATGTCTCCTCTACTGTCCCAGATTGTCAAGTTGCAGGGTCAGGGATGGTGTTCTCACCCCCACAGCACCTAGAAGTACACTTTGCATATTGCCAGCGCTAGGCAAATGTGTGTCCACTTGGCTGACACCATCAGCAAATGTCCGTGAAGCCATGGAGTGCACAGCCTCTTGTGGGAAGAGACTAAGGGCATTGGAAAGAATGTGTGCACTCTGGTTTTCAGCCTGGTTCCTTTGGTCTTTCTTTGAACAAACATTTCTGAATGTCTTCTGGGAGGCGGCAGTGGGGTCCTGGGAGTGACAGACAGCAGGGGAAGGAGGAACAGTGGCAGCCCAATGGGAACAGCACTGCCATGAGGGCACCCATAGGCTGGGGGACTCCAAGTTACCTGACACTCAGCCGCAGCAGCTGCGGAGGTTCACAGAGGGGCAAAATGTGACACAGGTAACCCCTCCAGGAAGATCAGGTAAGAGAGGGAAACACATTCCTGGCCGGGGTCGTAGCATACCTCAAACCTTGGGGATTTAAAAGAGCTGGGAAAGGTGAGTCCTTATATGATAAGATATACACCATAGAAGTAGAAGTGGCAGGGCGAGGCGTGCCCAAAGCCTTGAGTGCATGATGGTGGAGAGTGGACTGTGTCACACGGCCAAGGGGAGCAGTTGACCCAGGGGATGGTCATATGTGTGGGTCCTGCTTGCAGGAAGCAGCACCATCCTCATTCATGTGTCTCAGCAACCCCATGAGACAGGTGGGGGTCTCCTCTGTTGTCAGATTAGGTAACCGTGGCAGTTTCCAAGTGTCCGTGGGGGCCCAGAGCCTTTGCACCTCCTTTGCACCTTGCAGATTTGGGGCCTGATGAGAAAATCAAGTATTAGGACCTCCCCACCCTACTCATCCTCTCCACCTGGCTAGGTGGGGGTTTGTTGTTCAACATGTATTGGGATGAGTCCCTAAAAATTGTCTTTGCCAATAGAACTAGATAGATTCTAATCCTTGCTTTTTTAATTGTCAGGTCTCTGCCCTTCACAGACGCATAGAGTCCATTGCAGAGGTGGCGGCGATGTGTGGAGTCAACATCATCTGTTTCCAGGAAGCGTGGAGTAAGTCTTTCTTGTGGGGCTTTCGCTGTCTCCTTCAAGCAATCGTGAATTATCTTCGTGTTGCCAGGAGTCTCTGCTACCTGATTTTTAAAAAATCTTTTCTCAGGCCGAGCCCATGGCGCGGGTTTGGATCCTATATAGAGATGACCGGTGCGCTCACAGCGCTCACTGGCTGAGCGCGGTGCGGCTGGTCTCAAAAAGGACCAAAAAAAAAAAAAAAAAATCTTTTCTCATAGATAGAAAAGTTCTTTGTCAACACCACCAGAAACCCAGGAACCCCCACCTCCCTCCCTCTTACTCTCCCTAGTCTGTTGATCGGTCTGAATCTATTCCCTGCTTCTACCTCTGTACCACTGTCCTGGTCTAAGCTGCCAGCAGCTCTGTCCTGAGCTTTTGTAATGCCTCCAGCTGGTCTTCTTGTGCCCTCCACTCTGGCCCCTCCTGACCCTGCTTCACCTTCAGATCTCAGCTGAGATCCAGCCTCACTAACTGAAGTTGAGTCCCTGTTACATACACTCCTGGTACCATGTACAATTTCTTTATGTTTTTTTTAATTTAAATCAGAGTTATACATGCTCATGGTTTACAGTCAAGTGGGTTTACAAGGTCTTTTACCAAAAAATAGCTATCCTCCTCCCCACAGGCAATTTCTTTCCACATTTAGCTGGTTCCTTTGGAATTTACCTTTGTGTTGCAACTTCCAAATTTTGCTGTTTTGCATCTTCTGTTGCTTTCTCACTATGGAAGAAGTCAGTCTTTGTCCTTTGCCTCTTCTTTCTCCCTCTACACACATGTACCCTTCCTGTTCTATCTCCCATCCATTCTCTGCCAAGCCATTTTGTCAACTTTGATTTCTTTTCCTGAATAACGCTCTGTTTTCTCTGGAGTTTGTTTTGTTTTCAACATACTTAGCACAGGCTCAACCCCAAACTTTTTGCCAGTTTCCTAAATCCCTTTAACATGTTTAGACATGGGCTGGCCTGTGGCTCACTCGGGAGAGTGCGGTGCTGATAACACTAAGGCCACGGGTTCGGATCCCATATATGGATGGCTGGTTGGCTCACTTGGGAGATCGTGGTACTGACAACACCAAGGCAAGGGTTGAGATCCCCTTACCGGTCATCTTTTAAAAAAAAAAACACGTTTAGCCACATCAAGCAGTCTGTCAGTTCCATCTCCTTGAAGCAATCTGTTCCCAGTTCTCTGCCTTCCCCAATCTGAATTAGTTGTACACTCTGCTGGCCACATAGCTGTCATCCTGGGATCTCTCTCTCCCCCACTATCCTGGGGAGCCCCTTTGACTTGCTCTTGTGTTTCTCTAATCCTATGTCTTCCTCTTTCTTGGTTTACTCCTTCATTTTGGTGGAGCAGTTCCCT